ATGATGTAAGTGAATGATTAATAATATTTTACAGAGAGGAAAGATGAGGCTTTCAGAGGTTTAATCTCTGGCTCGGAGTCACAGGACACAAAGTGAATGTGTGGAGCCCTCAGCCCAGGCAGTTTGTAGCAGAGCCTCTTAAAAATTCATGTGATATTTACAAATTCATAACAGACATGCAATAACTTCTTGTGAAATTACAATTTTAACTTTTTTTTCCTGGTACCAAGGATTGAACTCAGGACCTTGCACTTGCCAGGCAGGCACAGCACCACTGAGCTACATCCCCAGCCCAATTTTTACTTTTTTTTTGTAATAAGAGAGTCAGAAAAATAAAACATAGTGGCAATCGCCAGAATTGGAAAATTCAAGAAAGTCACGAGGTTAACTAAAAGAGTGGCTCTGAGAAAGATAATACTGTTAAATGTCAAAAGTAGTCAAAAATTAGATGGCTTCTGAAAAATAATTTCTGCAGATAGGATACCACTATAAAAGAGAAATAAAATGATATATTGGAAAACATTTTTTTTTTGGTACCAGGGATCGAACTCAGGACCTTACACTTGCAAGGCAAGTGGCAGAACCACTGAGCTAAATCCTCAGCCTGCAAATACATATTTTTGATAGATGGTCTGAGATCCTTCCTAGGAAAAGATGAGCTATAAATTAAATTGATAACTGTAATGACTCTGTCTTTTGTATTTACTCAAAGGTAGCAAGTAGCTACTAAAATGGAAAGTGTAAAACAGAAGTCATTTTGTAATTGGAGTTGGAAAATGTATAATTATTTGCTACATAACTTTAACAGATGAAAAGAATGCAGACAGATTTCTAGTTAATGTTTGAATGTAGAATTATCTCCAGAAGTTTCCTGTGTTGGAGGCTGGGTCCCCAGTGCACCAGTGTTATTAGTGGGGCTCTCAGAGGTGATAGATCATGAGGGCTGTCACTTCATCAGTGGGCTAATCCATCCACAAAGTCAGAATGTCATGGTATTGTTGGCAGGTGATGGAACTTTAGGAGGTGAGAATAGGTAGTGGTGGTGTGACCTTGGTGACTGGTATATTTTGTTTCCAAACCCTTCTCTCTGTCTCTCTCTGTCGCTCTCTCTCTCTCTCTCTGTACCCTAGCTACTGCGAGGTGACCACGAGATTTCCTCTGCCACTCCCTTTCACCGTAATGTTTCTGCCTTGCCACCAGCCTAGAAGCTATGGAACCAGCTGACGATCAGTTGAAGCTTCTGAAACCTTTAGCTTTAATAAGCCTTTCTTCCTTTAATTTTTTTCAGATATTTCTGTCATAATGAAGGAATGCTGATGGATGACCTTAATAACTTATACCAAAGTATCCAGCTCATAAAATTTATTTTTGCTGTGTATTTTAACATCTCTTTGTTCAAGCAAACTTTTTATGGCTGTGAGAATATAATAATATAATATTCAGTGAACATTATTTAATTAATTAAATAAATTATAAAATAAACATAAAAATTAAATAAAAATTAAATAAATGAAAGAATAACATGACAAACTCTAGATATTTATACTCATAATTTTTATACATCAATGTTAAGTGTAAAATTAAGTTACATTACAAAAAGTAATTTAATCTAGAAGGGTTTTATATAAAATAGGACCATTAAATGTAATGGCAACTCTATTTTTACCTTTTTTGTGCTTAGCATAAATTCTTAAAAGAAAAACACACCTTTAAAAATGTATAGTTACTCTTTCCCTGCTAATTATATATGACTTTAGTTAAAAAAAGTAAAATGAAGACATTTAAAAATCATCCATAATCTCACAAATTAATCATAAGTGGGAGAATGCATTTGTATAATTTCATAGAATAAGTCTTCAAATTCCAAATTATATTACAGGATGTGAAATTTGAGGCCTATACAAGGCTGCCATTTAGTGGTCAAAATTAAGAATAGCAAGCAAAGGCGAAAGCATATTGATGATAGAATACAATGTAGTTTTGAAACTAAATTGAAAAATGAAAACAAATTCACAAGACAAAAAAGTAAAAATTGATACTTATAATTTTGTTAGTCATAGCTTGTAATATTAATTTGTAGGAATTAATATTATTAAATCATGAAGATAATGACATCAGTTTAATAACTAAAAGCTTACAAAAGAATTGCATCTGAATTTATGCCTTGTTTTTTTTTTTCTGGTACTAGGGATAGAACTCAGGACCTTGCACTTGGGAGGCAGGAGCAGTGCCACTGAGCTAAATCCCCAGCCCTTGTGTCTAAATTTAAATTCACAGAGCATCTCTGATTTCTTTAGAATTGGTATCTGTCCTCCTCTTATACACAGGGCCGCTCACTGTGCCTGCTTGTGACTTAGTTGTTCTTTAAAAACAAACAAAAAAAGACCTATTCAATTGTTAAAATGTTCCCAGAATTAAAAATATCAAAACATTCTTTAAGACCCTATCTGTCTGTCTTATATATTTGCTCATGCAATTTTGAACAATGGACAAATACAGTTAGCTGTGTTCCTGCCTTCTATAGTTTGTCTTAACATATGCTATCTCTATTATGTTTTCTTTCACTAAGATTTAGTTAGGAAGACCCATTCCTATGTATTGACAAACCTAGAAATAATTACTAGCTGTTAGGATTATCTTATCAAAAGTGGGTCAAACATTTCTGATATTTTTATGTAAATTTTCTGTGGCCCATTTAGCAGTGAAGTCCACCTTTGAAATTTGCCTTCAAAAAACAAGGAAGATGATATGGAAAACTTTATTGGTCTTTTGTGGGTTCAAAAGCAAAATTAAATTTTATAATTAACTAAAACAAACACTCTTGTCTACTTTTTTCTTTGGAGAATTTAACCCACCTATCCATGTATGAAGTGTTAAAATATGCATTTGATATTCATATTCAGTTGTGTTGCATCTTTAGCCAATGGATAGTTTTGTGTTACAGGTGGATCATGTTTTGATAGAAGGAGCTAAACATTAGTTGATGAATTCTGAGATGGGGCCTGAGTGCCTAAGAGGCAATTTCATGAACCTCTGAAGCTGTCAGCTGTAAAAGCCAGCAGTGAAGGAAGTGAGTACTACTAGTATTCTCTTTTTTATTTTTTGGTACCGGAGATTGAACTTGGGAACTTGTGCTTGTGAGGCAGGAGGCGGAACCACTGAGCTAAATCCCCAGCCATCATTCTCAGTTTTAGGGTCAAACTTATTTCACTTTTTTTGGGGGGGTGTACTGGGGATCGAACTCAGGACCTTGCACTTGCAAGGCAGGCAGGTGGTGGCTACTTCTTCATTAGCATTCCAATTATTTCTTTACTTCCTCACTTTGCAGTGTACTTTTCCCTTCCTTCCATTCTCCCTTTTTCTTTTTCCACTTTGCAATTGTCATCTACATCAACTAGGATAGTGTATCTATGTTTTAAAAAACACGCATAGGCTCTAAATTTTCAGTGTAATTAAAGTGATTTATGTCTCCAAATTTATTTACATAGACTTTACTGCAGATACTAAGTAACTACTTTATAAGCTATACATATCATATTTTGAGAGTGCATTTGTGGAATTATTCAATTTATAATACCACAGAACTAAACAAATTCAAAAGTCTGTTTTTAAAAAAGATCTCTGTTTAGCTCACTCTTTTCCTTTAAATGAATAAAAGCCAAGTAGCATTTACTTTTATTGCCAAAAGAACTCACAATTTGAGAAGCTATTAAATTGTTAAAACTCTTGGTGCCAATTTCAAATGCTGGGCATGTTTATATTAATCCCATCAAAATAGTTTCAGTCATATAAGGGAAAATGCTACATGGTATAATGGCAAAGTATGAATCTATAGTACAGTGTTGATTCTCTGATTTTTTTAAATTGTAGTTTTGGTTCAGAAGCCAAATTGGCAGGGTTCCTGTAGGTTGTCAGTAATAACTAGACCATGTAAATTAAAAAGAACTAGACTGACAGCGAATAAACACACAGAGGCATACAAGTTGTAAAGCATCAACAGCTGTTCCTATGCATCTGTCTATTAATGCAAGAAGAAATGTCCCCATTCACTTCAAGTCTTACTCAACTTGACTAAAAGTTGAGCTGGATAATTTAAAAGCATGATGATGTTATACTATGTACATATTAATCCAGATTTTATATGGTTTTAAAAATCTGTAATATCTTAGAGTCAATTCAAATTTTTGCATCTATATTAATAACTGATTCCAAGGTTAAAATTTGTCTTAATTAAGAGTGTGTTCCAAATAGATCTTTGAATTTTTAAATAGCCACTTTCCAGAGAAGAGGCTAGGAGGGCCAAGAGACCAAGGTACATTTTAAAAGCACTGTAACTGAGCAGTCTACCACTTTCGGATGTTTTCATCCAAGTCATTACTTCTGTACTGGTTCCAATCTTTTCCTATTTTATTTGTTTCTGTACATTGACTGTATCACTATGCTTAATTATGGTACTGATAGCAGGTATACTCTAATTCTTAAAATATAGACATTTAATCCTTTTACAAATCACATAGACTAATTCTTCCTCTTCCAACATACATTTTGACTGCTTATCCTCAAAGAATAAAATAAATGCTTTAAAGCAATCATAATAATCCAGGATAAATATTATGCTTTTATCTCTCGTACAATAAAAGTGAGAGTACTAGAACATATAGTACATATATAGTGAGATATAGTATGTATCAATATATACAAAGAATTACATTTAGAGGGAAAATGGACCCAATGTACCCAATGAATATTTATAAATTTACCTAAAACATAATGGATACTTATAAATTAATATCTCTACCAAAATCTTCATGACCAGCCCTTTTAGAGGAGTTCAGAAGTATTATCACTACTATAAGAACTAGTCAAAGCTTATTTGCTTATTTTTTGTTTGTTTTTCAGTTTCAAGAAAAAAAGCATATGAAATATGATTATACTAGAATTGTAGTGGAGGCACACAAGAATCACTGGTATGTTAATAAGATGAAACTCAGAACACATACCATAAAATTCCTCTGGTAGTGAATATTCTCTTTGGTGAAGTCAATCACATAGCCATTGAAAGACCAAATAAATGTGAGATCCAAGGCGGGATCAAAGGACGCAGCACACTGCATGGTGGCATTTTCTCCAACAGTGATATCGGCATTGATCGGGGCCAAGATTATCCGCGTGGGATCTGTACATTTTTAAATGAAAGAGTAAAGCACAATTCAACAAAATACGAGGCATCATATTGTGCAGTATACATTAAAGAATGAGAAGCAACATACTTTGATTTTTCTATGCAAAGAAATATGATATTTTCACATCCAAAGTTCAGGAACAACTCCAACAGAAGGAGAAACTTACTCATACTGGGACTGTTTACAGAAGCTTAGCCCTGACCCACCTGTCTTTTAGTGCACTAGAAATTAAGCATCATCAGAATTTAGAAGATATTAATAAAATATCAAATGATCTCTTACCTGTGATAACAAGTGTACCAGTGCTATTAGCCTTCCCTCTATTATTTTCTGCAAAGCATGTATAAATGCCTCCATCATTCCTTGTTATGTTGTTGATTTCCAAGCTTCCATCTTCCCAAATGAGGATTCTATCAAAAGACATACATCATTCAAGTAATAAAATATCATTGCACTCACATTATAAACTAATATTTTTGATTATTACATTTTATACAAGTCACTTGATAGGAAGACTTTTATTCAGTGGAAACATTCTAGCCTTTGATTTTAACATTCTTTCTCAGCATCAACAGTATTTTAGAAAGTCATATTCATCATTTTCCTGAACTATTGCAGAAGTCCTCTGACTCCTGTTTGTATTCTTGCTTTTCCTTTGTCTCTTTCTCACGTCAGCCAGACATGTACACATCAGTGACCTAAGACATATTATGTCACATTACTGCTCAGATGCCACTCAATAACTTGTAAACCCTCTGGTGACTTTCTTATAGTAAAAGCCACTATCCTATGTCCTATGGGACTTTAGATAATCACACAACTTATTCTTCAAATCTTTTAGGTTTTATACTTTTAATAAAGCTTTTTAAATGATTTTGGTTAGCATTATTTGTGCTTTTGTATGTGTATGCATATGCACACATTTATACTCACTACACATAGAATTTTGTTGCCTTGACATTCTACATCATATTCCTCTTCCCAGATTTTTTTCCCTAATGCATATATCATCTGAAATTTTTCAGCTTAGCGTATTAATGATGTCCTCCTATTAGACTGTAACATTTTGATGTCAGAAATTTGTATCTGTTTTACTGATGGTAGTGTCCCCAGCACATAAATAAAATTCTTAGTAAATATTCTTTTTTTTTAGATCAATCACACAGTCATTGAAATAACAAATAAATGTGAGACCCAAAGCAGGATCAAAGGACCCAGTACACCGCACAATTACATTTTTTTCTCAAAGGCTATAGCAGCTATTTATTCATTAATTTTTAAAGATTCTGTGTTATACGCCCTCACTCAGTAGTGTCATACTGATTGTTGAAGAGGCATTCAAAAAGGGTGTTTTTTTTTTTTAAAAATGAATTACATAGAGTTTAAGGAAGGAAGTTGTTTTCCACATTCCACTTCCATAGTTTCAACCATTATGAGACAGGTTCAAACAAGCCTGAAAAAAAATGAGTTTTAAGTCTTCCAGAAATGCAACCTTAGGACTTCAATTCATACTTCAAAGTTAGGACAAACTGCCACTATTGCAGAGAACATAATAACTTTTAAATAAAGATATTCTAATATCTGCCTTTGTAATAGCTACCTTAAGATATTAACATTTAGGCAATCCTTCTTTGAGCAGAACCTAATTTTTTCATATTTTTATTCCACCAACCAGATTGTTCCCTCTGGATTACCTGTCAGTGGATTTTTACTTTCATTAAATGCATTATTTTAAAAGTTTTACAATACTTTGAAGCTTTGCACAAAACATACAAATTTATGTTCCATTTTAAAGGCAGAGTTTGATAAAAGAAAAATATTTTTATCTAGATTACGAATAAAAATTCCATATAAGAAAATACTGAAAATTCTACTAATTATATATTCTAAAACTTTATTTTCTTTCTTTAACTATCCAGTTCTAACTTAATTCATTTTAGAATAGCCTTTGTTCTTCAAGAAGAAATGTAACATCAAAATAACATAATAAGTAATTTAGCTATTAGAAGTCAGCTCTGAGGATATGCCTCTTTCTCTAGCTACAAGGGTGTAATGAATCCACTGCCCCAGACCCTGGATTCAGAAACCCACCCCTGTGTTTATCCCAGGCCACACTTGCACAAGCTGTCAACCAATGACGGGGCAGGGGAAGACTTTTCTAAAAGGCACTGCACTCCCACGGGCACTTTTGACTGAAGCACTTCCCAGTGGCCTGATCATATTCTCTTGAACTGCACTGCCCTGCATCTGAGTCAATCTTTTTTCCCTCCTTCGCTCTCTCCTTCTTCTGGGATCAAACCTGCATCTCAGTCAGGTGGCTCTCCTAGCCTGCACCCTACTTCCTCTCTATTCCCTTCCAGGAATTTCCATTAATAAATCTCTTATATGGCTAATTCTTTCCTAGCGTCTCCTTCTTGGAGGAAATATATTAGTACAGTAACAATATTAGTGTGTTATACTGTTTTTCACTAGCATATAAGATCTTGCCAAATTTCTACCTTCTCCTATTTAATTATTTTGCAAGCAAAGCAATGGAAATTATGGTCAAGTTACAGTGGAAAACAACAATTTGTTCTAAAACCCATAGTAACAATTTTAATTTACTTACATATATTAGCTCACAATTCATCTTTCTCATCTTTCTGACAGTTTAGTTACTGATAGATCACATATATAAGAATGACCCCATGAGACTATGATGGAGCTGATAATTTCTAAGTCCTAATGATGACTTAGCCATTGTAATACCAAGAACAGTGCATTACTCACATGTTTGTGGTGATGCTGTCAGTTGTATAAAAGCAAAACACATATAATTATAGACAATGCATAATACTTGATAATGATATGTTACTGGTTAATGTATCCTATATTTTTAATCAATATTTAAGAGTATACTTCTTTAATTTTTTGTAAATCAGTTTACTGTAAAACACTATGCTATGTTATGAGAGCAGCAGCCTCATGTATCTTGTGTTTACCATATCTCTTGATTGTATCATTTTCTATTGTCCTTTATTCAGTTTTGTGTTTGTTCATTACATCCATAGGAACAATAGCCTCATGAGACTGCAATGTAACTGAATGATATAGGTATGATAAAGATAAATAGATGATAGATACATAGAAGAACAGATGGATGGATGTGGGGAGAGAAAAAGAGGGAAAGAGAAAGAGAGAGAATGAATGAAGGTATTACCTATCCTAGGTGTAGAGGCTATTCCATCTGGATTTGGATAAGCACACTATGAGTTCACACAATGATAAAGTCATCTAACAATGCATGTCTCAGAATAGATCCCCACCGCTACGTGAACCATGACTATACATATTTCCTAGTGTCATTACATCTATAATTTGAGGCATTTTTCCTTTGACACTTAAAATTACATTTTAATAAGAATATTTAGGGAACTTTGTTTATTGGTAAAGCATACCAACTCTGGAGTAGAAAATAATCATGGAGATGTTCTCACATAAATAGCTCAGGTGAAGGTCACTTCAGAGCTGATAGCAATCTATCCAATATAAATTAACAATTAAATTAATTCTGTTAATTACAAAGAAATTCTGTCAGAGACTGTATACAATTTGAGCCAAAAATAAAATTTTATATTTGAGAACTCAAAACACAATTTATGAAGAGTCATGGCTCCTTCTTACTGAGTGCAAGCATTGTTTCAACCTTTCTGGAGTCCACTAACCAGGCACAGAAGCAACTTTGTTATGTGGAGATATTTTATGTAATTATGTTAATCAGAATAAGATCATTCATGCTTGAAGACTGTTATTCATATTCTTAGAAATTGTTTTTCAATTTATATTTCATATACGTTTTGTAAATAAACAATCCACTTAGTATTTCTTTGTGCATATTATTTTACAACAAGAAAACATTTGTATATGAAAACTACAGTGATACCTACATTGTAATATTAATGAATTAAAGTAGTTATCAAAAACCAAACTTGTAGACTCACCAAGGAATTAATTCAATTTGATTTTAACATTTTAAAAATATTATAGACTAAGCAAAATTGTAAGATTTTAGGAGTTAGATCTCTTTCCGTTTTTGGACACATAATGATGTTCAGGAAAGACAAGTCCACAAAACATGGTTCTGGGAAATCCTTGGTTTGAGCAACGCATGATATTGGTCTTTGTTAGGATGAGAGCAGGATTCAATCATCAAGGAGACAGAGCTGGGTGGGTCCAGTGGGAAGGCAATGCTATCTAGGTGTTGTGAGTGAGCACCCAAAAAGAGGGCAAATTTAACAAAGTGACTCTTATTTAATATTAATTTTTCTATTATCCTTTTGTTAAAGTCTTAAAAACTCTTAGGTCAAATATATTAACTTTAAGAGATAGATTCAAGGAAGGCTGTGCTGCGCCACATGCCCTGCTCCCACTCCAATACAGTCCTACTAGTGACCATCCTCTGAAGAGGACCATGTTGTCACATTTGTGTGCCATGTCATCATTGCAGAGTTCAAGTTCCATTCTGAATATTATCAGTGCATTTTTTCCAGAAGGAATTTCAATGTTTCCCAGCCTCATAAGTACCCAAATAGGGTCAATAGTACATCTTACTTTCTTGGATTATTGTGAAGATTTATTTGCAATACTTGCGACAGAACATTCCTTCAAAAGGCAAAAATTCCTTGATCTCCTCTTTCATTAAGACTTTGCAGATATTTTCATTGTTTTTACCTAGAGCCCAAGCCCCTTAGTGGGGAAAGCTTTCTCATTTGTTATCTGACTCCCTGTGTCTTGCTCTCTTAAGTCTTCTCCATGGGCCTTAAAGCCAAATCATAGTGATTTTAGTTTTTGCAGTTCCTTACACATCCTATTCTCCCTCTCTCAGGGCCTTTGAACACACAACCTTTACTTCCTGGCACACACCCCACACACAGCCCAGTCTTCCATCCTGGCTTTCTCTTTCTCATACTCTAGAATTCAATGTAAATATAATTTCTTCTAGGAAACTATCCAGTGTGGATTTTACACAAATCATCAATGACAATCATATACTGCTATTTTGTCTTTTCCCAAAGCCACCAAAACACTGGTAGATGTTATATTTACTGGAAAGATGATGAGGACATCTTTTTCATTTAAATTGAGAAGACATTATTTATACTTTGAAATCGCCATTTTGTATTCCTTCTAGAATATTTAATAGGCTCACTGGATTTTTTTTTCAGTTTTTATTAGTATGCTTGCAATATATAATGGTTACATTCCTCACATATCTCAATATTGTCATCCTATTCTGTTCTTCTCCCTCCCACCTCCCTCCATTTCTTAAACCCTTACTCCTTTTTGCAAAAGACCTGTCTCCTTTATCTATCTTTAATTTTGTTCTTTATATTGTGAGTTTCTCATATAAGAGAAACTGTGTAATATTTAAGTTTGTGTGTCTGATTTATTTCACTTAGAATTATGGTCTCAAGGTGCATCTATTTTCCTACGAATGACTCAAGATTATCCTTCTTTATAGCACAGCAGTAGTTCATGATGTATAAATATCATATTCTTTATCTATTCATCTGTTGATGGACTTATCAGCTACTTTGAAGATTTAGCAATTATGAACTGGGCTGTTAAAAACTTAAGTATACATGAATCACTGTAATATGAGGTCTTGACTTATATCTCTCGCCATGCACTAAACTAAAATCAAAATGGATTAAAGATCTAAATATTAAAATAGAAACGCTGAACCGGCTGGAACAGAGGTTAGGTA